AGACACCCTCTAGGTGGCAGTGAGCTGGCTTCAGGGGCCACAGGGACACCTCTGCATGTCTGTGCTGAGCTCCAGGCCCGAGTTGGTTCCAGACACAGGGCCTCCCTCACGGCCACGCCTCAGGCCAGGCGGTCAGTTTTGGACACGCCGAGGGATTCATCTCCTTCACGGGGAAAGGAGCCAGGACATCCTGTACTGCCAGCTCTAGGGATGCTCCCAGGTAGGGAGACCCAGGATTGCCTGGGAGGTGAGCAGGACTGCCCCCGCAAATCCATAGGTCCACCCATGGTTGAGTTCCACGACTCTCGGGACAGGCCAAAACCATGGCCTCCTTGGCCACATATTCCTTCTCCTCGGTCCTGCCTCACTTGAGGCAAGGCCAGCGGAGGTGATGGGACCACATGCGCCAGAAAGGATAGGACGGGCACTCTCATCCCCTGAGGCTGAGTCTGCACATGGCTCTCAGCAGGTCCCAGGAGGCCTCCAGGGCTGACCATAGCAACGGGATAGGGCCTTGCCTGAGCCTCCTCCCTGAAGCACTCTGGAGACAAGTCATCAGCCAACCATGTCTAACAAGGACCTGGTCAGAGACCCTCCTCTGGCCCCACCCCCCTACAGGGACAAGGATGAGGATGGCCCATGCGCTCGGAGCCTCTTCCTGTCACGTTCCATCCCAGGCGTGATTCAGACTCAGAGAGAAGACCTGGGAGGGTAGAGGATCCTGTACCTGTTCCTGTTGGAGAAGAGAAACTTGTGGAAGCAGTTGTCCATGTGTCTGGAAGGGACAACAGATAGAAAAGTCATTGGTTAGGCCTCAGGAAAGGAGTCCTTCCCAACAAAAGGGTGGGTCGGTCAGCGTGACTTTCCCATGTGCCCCCTGGACGTGCTCCCTGCCTGTCCACAAGCCTCAGCGTGACTTTCCCATGTGCCCCCTGCACGTGCTCCCTGCCTGTCCACAAGCCTCCCGCTCGGCTGTGTCATTGTGGTCGAAGGCCTCGGAGAGACCGGCTGCATCCCTCCACTTCTCTGACCGCCATGTTCCACCCAATCAGACGACCTTTCTCATCTCTCCCCCATGAGGCAGGCACTCTCTGGTGGCTTGAGGTGTTGGCCTGACTCTGAAGCTTTAATAGAAAGAGTCAGGGACTGGTGAGTGAACCTGGAGGCGATCACAGGTCCATCCAGGGTGGAGTTCCGCGACTCTTTGGACAGGCCAAGACCATGGCCCACTTTGCCACTTATTTCTTCTCCAAGGTCCTGCCTCACTTGAGGCAAAGCCCTCAGAGGTGATGGGACCACCTCTGCCAGACAGGAGAGGACGGGCACTCTCATCCCCTGAGGCTGAGTCTGCACATGGCTGTCAGCAGGTTCCAGGAGGCCTCCAGGGCAGACACAGAGCAACAGGGGAGGGCCTTGGCTGAGCCTCCTCCCAGAAACCCACTGGAGACAAGACTTCAGCCAACCATGTCTAACAGGGACCCCGTCAGAGACCCTCCTCTGGACCCACCCCCCTACAGGGACAAGGATGTGGATGGCCCATGGGGAGGCTCTTCCTGTCACGTTGCATCCCAGCAGTGATTCAGACTCAGAGAGAAGCCAGGGGAGGGTGGAGGGTCCTGTACCTGTTGCTGTTGGAGAAGAGAAACTAGTGGAAGAAGTCCTCCATGAATCTGGAAGGGACAACAGAGAGAAAAGACGAGGTGAGGCCTCAGGAAAGGAGTCCTTCCAAAAAGGGTGGGTCGGTCAGCGTGACTTTCCCATGGGCCTCGTGCACGTGCTTCCGTCCTGACCATAAGCCTCCCGCTAGGCTGGGTCAACGGGGTCGTAGGCCTGGGTGAGACCAACCTTATCCCTCCACGTCTTTGACCGCCATGTTCCTCCCCATCAGAAGACCTTTCCCATCTCTCCCGCATGAGCCAGACACTCACTGGGGGGCTTAATGTGTTGGACTGACTCTGATGCTTGGCTAGAAAGAGTCAGGGCCTGGTGATTGAACCAGGAGGCCAGCAGAGCTCCTGTTAGCCAGAGGACGCTCATCACATGTTCACCGCCATCCCCGGACACTGTGTCTGCCCCCTTGCGATAAGGGTGTGACCATGCTGGCCCTCAGGGTGTGACAGGTGTGACAGGAGGAAAGAACCAAGAAGCCTGCTCTCCCGTCATCAGAAAGCCAATGGGCATCAGTGTCCACTATGTCACAAAGCCCTCCTCAGCCTGGAGCCACGGGGCCACCTTCACGGAAGGGGCGCACTTCTTGACCATCGGCCGCTCTCCCCGGGGAAGGCCGGCAAGAATCTGATGAGAACTCACAGGGAGGAAGGACAGACGGAGTCTTTGGAACTCCCCCAACCACCTCTAGTGACGGAGACAGAGGGCAAGAGTGTGGTCCAGATGGGTACAAAGAGCCTTAGGTCAGCTGGAGAGGGCCGACTGGTAGAGGTGGGCAGGACAGAGGGACATCACAGGACACGTGGCTGGGACTCACCTGGCCAGGTTGTGGAGGCATGAGTAGCCATAGGAAAAGAAAGAACAGTCAGACCCCCAGCTCCCAGGTGCCTGGCCCAGATCCTGGATTGAAGACCCTCATCTTCTACACACGGAGCTGATGCCGTGCACATGGCCTCGCGGTGGACGCAGAGGTGCTGCCCTGAACCTCGCAGTCCTTCCCAAGCCACGCCCTCTGTCCCTTTGCCATGGCCTGCCTCCTGGAACCCGAGGACTTCCTGTCCAGTGTATGGAAGCCAGTGTCATGCCTGGGACAGGCCACCGGGGCCCTGGTGTTGACCCCACAGAATGAACGGGGAATGACCCCAACAAATGGGGGCAATCAATGTGCACACTGATGTTTCAGCCTTGACGCATTCTGTTTTAGAGTTGACACCAACGTCTAGACTTTTCCATGGGGTCCTAATACCCCGTCCCCAAGGCCCCCATTGGTTCCTCCCATTCACTGGCCACCTGCCATCTCCCACCTCCCCCTGCTCCCTCTCACTCTCTCTGTCCTTCACAAAGGACCTCTGTGCTCTCATGTTGTGCCCTCTGCGTCACCGTCTTGGAGACCCCAGGTGACACCATCCTCAAAGAGGGGAGGTGCTTACCAACGCCCACTCCCAGGGCCAGCTGCCCTGGAAGGATTCCACAGACACCCTCCAGGTGGCAGTGAGCTGGCTCCGGGGCCACAGGGACACCTCCTCCACCTCTGTGCTGAGATCCAGGCCCAAGGCCGGTTCCAGACACAGGGCCTCCCTCCCAGCCACGCCCCAGGCCAGGCGGTCAGCTTTGGACACGCCGAGAGAATCATCTCCATCACGGCAAAGGAGTCGGGACATACTGTCCCGCCAACTCTAAGGATGCTCCCAGGTATGGAGCCCCAGGATTGCCCATGGGGTGAGCTGGACTGCCCCCCGCATCCACCAGGGCCACCCAGGGTACAGATTCAAGGCTCATAGGACAGGCCAAGGCCATGGCCTCTTGGGCCACATATTTCTGCTCCATGGTCCTGCCTGACTTGAGGCAGAGCTCTCAGGGGGGATGGGACCTCTGTCAGACATGAGAGGATAGAGACTCAATCCCCTGAG